ATGTGGTATTCTGATAGCTCGACCGCCCATTTGACCATCCGCCCAGATACTTCCATTGAAGTTAGGATCTTTTTTAGCGGGAGGTTGGTCAGGACAGTGATTTGGTGCGCTTGGAAGTATGGGCGTAACTTCTGCGCCGCGCTCACTAGCGCCAAAGCTGCTTTTTCTATTGGGGAGTATCTTGTCTCTGCGCTGACCAGGGTCCGCGATGTGTAGTACACTGGGCGCTCGTTTTGTCCGTCTCTTTTGAATATAAGTACTGCGCTCACGGCTCTTGTCGACACAGCAAGATACAGAAAAAGCTTTTCATTAAATTTTGGGGCGGTCAATACAGGGGAGGAGACAAGATAAGCCTTAAGCTCCTCGAACGCCGCTTCGCATTCTTTGGTCCACTTGAATCGCGCGCCGTTTTTGAGCGTTTGAAGAATGGGGCGCACTTGTCACTGATCTCGGTATGAATCTTCCCAGCGCCGCTATCTTGCCGTTCAGGGACTGGATCTCCAATGTGTTCCTTGGCGCGCGCAGTTGTAGGACTGCAGTGATTTGCTTTGGATCGACCTCAATGCCGCGCTTGGTGATCATGAATCCCAAGAATTTTTCGGCTTCTGCTCCGAACACGCATTTCAACGGGTTGAGGCGGAGACTGTATTTGCGGAATGCTTCAAATGTCTCACGCAAGTCTTCCAGGTGTGACTTGCCCGCCTTAGTTTTGACTATGAGGTCATCCACCTACGCCTCGATGTTCCGCCCTATCTGTTGTGAGAACACCGCGTTGATCATTCTTTGGTAGGTTGCGCCAGCGTTCTTCAACCCAAATGGCATCCCCACGAAACAAAAGTTTCCGAATGGCGTCATGAAGGCTGTTTTTTCTTTATCTTCGCGAGACATCGGGATTTGGTGATACCCTGAGAACATGTCCAGGAAAGACAGCATCTCGTGATCGGCGGTGGCGTCAATTAGCTGGTCGATGTGCGGGAGTGGGTATGGGTCTCCCGGGCACACCTTGTTGATCGTTGTGTAGTCGACGCACATCCGCCAAGCCCCTGAAGATTTTTTTGACCAGCACCACGTTTGCCAGTCACTTCGGGTATTTTACTGGGCGAATTAGACCCGCCGCTAATAGCCGCGCGACCTCTTCTTCAATGGCCTTCAGCTTGTCGCCTGTGAAGCTTTGTCGCGCTTGTTGTCTTGGTTCCGCGTTGACTGGAACCGCGAGGTTATGCTGGGCAACTTCCCTCGGGACTCCCGGCATGTCCTTAGTGCACCAGGCGAATAGTTCCTTATACTCCTTCAGCAGCGCTATCAGTGGCTCAATCGCTTCACCGCTGACGTGGGTCGAGATGCGTATCTTCTGCGTCGGTTCGGCTGGGTCTAGCGCGACTTCAAAATCAGACTCCATCGACTCAGGACGTGGCTCCTCCGCCCTTGTGTCCACGATGTTGGTCTGGCGGGACTCCCCTGGCTTCGGGACATCCCATGGCGTCCCGCGCGCCTCACCGGTCCGTGCCTTGGTGGGGAATTTAAGTTTTTGGTGGCACGTTGACGGGAGCGCCATGAATTTGGCTAAGAAGGGCCTGCCAAAGATGCCGTTATGGGCCGAGTTACAGTCGACTATGGTGAATTCGACCTGCTTTGAGATGCGCGACTCTTGGTCTCCCAAGACGACCGGGAGGGTGACTACACCAAGGACTGGAACTCTTGTTCCGGAGAAGCCGACCAAGTTCCCCTGAGCGCGCTTGATCAGGCGCGGATCGATGTCCATCTGATCGATAGTGCTCTTGAAGAGGATGTCTGCCGCGCTGCCTCCGTCTATCAGTAGGCGTGGATTTTGCAGGCGGCGACCAGCGCGGTGATAGTAAGGGGATCTTCTGATGGGATTCCTTGGGGAAATTCTGCATCGTCGAAGCTCAGGTTGCACTTCGCCGATACTTCGGCCGCTGCACACTCTATAGCGCGTTCGCGTTTGGTTTTCTTCTTGGGACGGTCTACTTCGACTGTTACCACCCCGATTTCCTTTCGCACTACATATGAGCCTGTAGCGTCGTTATAGTCCGCTTGGGGGGGTGGTGGGGGCTGTACCGGCTGTTCCGTTTGTTCTTCCGCTCCGCGGATGAACTCAGTTAATAGTCCCCTTCGTATGAGGCCTTCGATCTCGTGGCACAACTCTCTACAATCCTCTTTCCAGTGGCCAGTTTCTCTGTGGAATTCGCAGCGCTTCTTCGGGTCGCGCATGTGGGTAACAACCTAAGAGGCGCGGGCCAGTTGATTCTGTAACCTTTCTCGCGCAGAATGTGGAACACGTTTTTCACGGAGTCATTGAGGGGTGTGTAATTGCGCCTCTCCGGCGATCGCCCTCGTTGGACTTGTTCTGGCGCAGGTGGTGGGCGTCTGGGACCGCTGTGCAATTGCATCAACTGGTCCCGCGGCACTAGCAGTTGTTTTTGCGCTTGTTCCTCTTTGGGCGCCTTTGCGGGTTCAAAGCGACTGACGGAACCCGCGCCGAGTGTCTCCTCTAGCATGATGGCTTTCTCGATCTTGACCTCCAGCTCTGTCGTCAACGTGACAGGTCTTTTTGCTAGCGCTCGTTTGAGCTCCACGTTAGTGGTGGCGTCCATGAGGTGATGGGCGGCAGTTTCTAGGGTGAGGTCTCTCACGGCCATTGCCACCCTGGACCATCTGGCGTAGAATGCTCGCAAGCTTTCTCCGTCCTTCTGCCTGATATCTATTAGCGCTTTGAGGTGAAGCGGCCTTCTTTTCTGGGATGCGAACTTTGTGGTGAATAGGAGTATGAACTCCTCGAATGAGCGGATGATTCCGTTTGGGAGGCGGTTGTACCAATTGAGGCAAATTCTAGAGAATGTTGATGGGAAGGTTCTGCATAGCGCCGCGTTGGAGTTAGTATGGAGTTGCATCCTCAGGCAGAAGGTGCTGACGTGATCCTCTGGATCAGTCGTTCCATTGTAAGTTGGGAGGGTGGGTGGTGTTCCGCTTAAGTGCTCCGCCATTATTTCCGCGCTCAGCGGTTGATGTAGGATTCTTCTAGGTGGGTTAGGGCAGAATTGCGGAGTCAGATGTTGCTCCAAGAAACTGAGGTCCGCCCTCCCTGGCGGTTCGATTCGTTGCGCTTCAGATGCGGACAACGAGCCCTCCGCCTGTTGTGGTGCCGCTGCTGCGCCTGACGCCTCTCCTTGTTGTGATGCGCCAGGCGCAGCACCTGGTGCTGTCGTGGCTTCTTTGCTCATCATGAGCGCGAGGACTTGGCTCATCTGCTTTTGCATGTCAGCTATGACGCTGTTTTGCTTTGCCACCAACTGCCTCATTTCCTTGGCTGTCAGCTCGGGCTCTTCTTCCTCATCGAGCACCGCGTTGAGGTTACTCCCTTCGGCGAACGCCCTCGGGGTTGTCATAGCCTTGATGGGTGTCACCTCGTCGGGAAAGTTGGAGTTGGGCTCTGCCATTGGTTGGATTTCTGTTTCTTTTTCTACTCAGCCCCACGGTGGGCGCCAATTGTTTGAACCTAACTGAGTGTAGGAGTGAGGTTCGGGGAAATGGGTTGAGAAGAATAAGCAATGAGAATTTGCCGTGGATCCAAGAACAGAGAAGGGAAAGAAAGGAGTTGAGTTGAAAGGGTAATATCTTAGAGAGAGAAGTTGATAATCTTAGAGATAGAGTAAGAAAAATCCGATCCCCTCACCCACCGGAGTAAATGCCTTATTTATAGGCTACATGGTGGTGGGTGAGTTACATGGTGACCTGTCATAGTGACATGACTACTGACATGTCAGAAGACTAGGCCATATCCCTACCTAGGACAAGTACACTTAGCCTTTCATTATACCTAGGACCATGATGTGACTACCCGATAGGTGGGACACGAAGTCGCTTCCCATTCTCGCTACTTTAGTCAATGCTGGACTCGGGCTACCCTCGGACGCGCTGGCGGTGACGTGCCCATCTCTAGGTATTCGCGCTCGCCTATGTGTTCGCTCGCGCCGGTGCTGGGGCGCCCGCTTCTTGGTATTTGATGCTCGGCGGTGCGCTTGCTCGCGCCGATGCTGGTGCGCCCGTCTCTTGGTGTCTGTATTTCTTTGGCGCGGCGGGATCCGAGTCACATGCCCAACAATATTGTTTAAAATGAAAGGTTTGGATAATAAATTGTATTTACCCTTTTTATTTTTCTTTATAGTTTTAAAAAATAAAAAAATAGAATAGAAAAAGAGAAACTATCGTTCCTTATTCCCTTGCTATTCCCACCTACCTCCCTCCTCTCTAAACACCCACCGTCCGATTCTAACACCAATAGAAGCACTCGTTCGCTGGAACTTCATCTTCCGGAACTGGAGCAACAACCTTTTTGGCCTTACTCTTCGGCTTAGCCTTCCTCTTCGCCTTGGTTTTCTGCTTCTCTGGCCGGTCACCGGAAGATAGATCCACAACCATAGCTCCAACGTTCGCCGCCTGAGGAAGCTCCCCTGGCACCACCTTGCTCTTCTTCCTCTACTCCGCATCCGCTGGCGTCGTCACCGTCATCGCAGCCCTCTTCATGGCAGCGCGAGTGAAGGGAGCACAGTTCTCTTGATCCGCCATTGGAAGTAGCTCCGCTTGCCTCGGCCTCTCAGCGTCAAGAAGAGAGTTGGAAGACGAATGACGGGAGAGAGAGCGATGAGATAGGAAGATCAATGTGGTGTGAGGTGGAGAATCCGACGAAGCGGCTGGAGGATCATCTGACGGAGAAGGGTTTTCCAATTCATTTTGGGGAAATCAAGATTATTGGGAAAGGAGAAATATTTTTATTTTAAATAATTAAATAACTAATAAATTTTCTAAGTTGACCGGTTGATGTGAAATCATTCGTTAACTGCCACATAATAAAATTTCTTCCACCTTATCATAACTTTTGCTAACTCACCATCATCTAACGGAATTGCTAACGGAGAGTTAAGGTTTGGCTAATGGTGGACCCCATGTAAAAACATTTCTACCACGTCATGAGTTCACCGCCCATGTTGCTCATCGCCGACGACACTCGCCAGTCTCGCCGGCCATAGTGTTCACCGTCCTTGGGGCTCATCGCCGAAGGCGCTCACCGGTCTCCTCACCGACAACGCTCATCGTTGACGGCGCACACCGGTCTCGTCGCCATGACGCTCACCGGTCTCACCCTCTCGGCGCTCATCGCCGACAATGCTCACCATCTCATCGTCGACGGCGCTCAACGGGCTCACCGCCTACGACGCTCATCGCCGACGGCTCCAATCGATGTCGCCGCCCATGGCGCTCACTGGCTCACCGTCTCGGCGCTCATCGCCGATGGCGCTCACCGGTCTCGTTCCCTACGACGCTGACCACCCTCAGCGCTCACAGCGCCCCGTGTTCACTTACTCTAGTCTTCTCCCTTATGTGGCACCCTTATTGGGTCATGACCTGCTATATGACGTGAGCGCCTAGACGTGGCACGGGAGAGCATGGCACGTGGCGAGCGAACGCATGAGGTGATGCACCTCCTCCTCCGACGTGTTGACCAAATACATCTGTCATCGTCGCGTGTCCTCCGCTGTCCCCCAGACGTGCACTATAAAAGGTGCCTCTTGTCTTCTTGCAAAGGTACGCAAAAAGGCCTCGGCGAGCCCCCTTGAAAAGTCTGCTACTATTAGCGACCGGAGTTATCGCTCGCCCAGGGCCTCGTTTCCTACCCTACGTCTTTAACTTCGTCATTTCCCTCAACTTATCACTCGATACTGACTTGAGCGTCGGAGGGTGTTCCCGCCGAGATCGGCCAACATACTTTTACAAGAGGTGGTGGGAGTCGGCATCACGATTAAGGATTGCGGTGTAAGGTGATTTGTCTGTAGCAAGGAATCTGACGTCGGCGACAACCTCGGCATCAACAATTGGCGCCCACCATGGGGCCCCGGAGTAAGGCTCTGAAGAAATTTCGACGCTCACATCCGACTCGTAATGGATTCTCGGAACTCCCCTCATCCCCAAGAAGGAAGAGATCAAGGAAAGGAGCCCACTGTCCAACACTCGTTTGAAGCTAAGACCGAGTTACTCAAAGCTCAAGTTCATACGTTGACATTCCCTGCACCCGGGCATCACACTAGCTCCATCCACCCTCCCAATACTCCTGGGACATCGGCCAACCCCAATGGAACGCCGACGACATCACACTAAGCAGAGGGAGCACAAGACGCTCAAGGAATATTACGCCCGATTCAGCACTATTGTTGTCGGGGTCACCAACCTCACCACAGAGAACACGACTCATGCTCTTACCTTCGGAACAAATAATGCCCTCCTCAAGGCATCTTTCATAAAATGACGTCCCCGAAATATGATGGTCGATGGACCTTCAGGAACGAGTCTCTAAGTACATCACCTTAGACGAGACAATGCAGAAGGCAGGCCCCTCAAGGCGGAACCGTTCCCCTTCACCAACCAAGAGGAAGCGCGAGTCCTCGTTCTCGCGGCGAGCGTATTCACTCCGAGCTTGGGACCGCCCACGCGCTTGCTCTCAACCCAGATCAGTACGAGGGTCCCGTCTGGAACCCACCAGGAACCCCGCAAAACCATTCTCCAGATCATCCAGGAGAAAAAGTTTATGATATCATGGCCAAACCCCATAACTAAAGAACCCTAGAGAGGGAAAACAAGTATTGTGATTTTCATCGGGGGTACGTGTGATTTGGGCCTAAATGTACACTTTATCCCCATTTTTCTTTGGCATTTGTAGAATTTGAGCTCCTGAAAGGGTGGCTTTACGCAAGGTTTCTTGTGTTTCAATGTGTTTCAGAGTCTAACAGGTGAAACCAACCCCAGAGTCTAAAGTTGGAAGAAAAGGCGCAAAGACCGGGCAAAGAGGAGGATCCAGCCGTAGTTCACGGTCAGAGCTTGGAGTTCACGGTCATAAGACCGTGAACTCCATAAGTGAAACGGCACGTTTTGATCTGTGTTCACGGTCTTGGCCTGATGTTCACGGCCGTGAACTGGGATCGTGAACTAGGCGCAATCAATGTATATATTGAGAGTTGAAAGGAAGAAGAAGAGAGAGCCCAAAGTGAGTGAAATATTCTTCTTCTTGAAACCCTAGAGAGAGAAAGTCACGAACCAAGATGGATGACGCCGGGCAACGGGCGCATAATCAACTGGGCCATTGAACTAAGCAAGTATGACATCACCTTTGTGCCTTGTACAGCCATCAAAGCGCAGGTACTCTCCGACTTTGTCACCGAAGGTATCCCAAGCCAATTCTCGCGGGTGACGGAGACCTGGGTACTGTTCGTAGTGGTGCTTCCAACAAACCGGTATAGGGGCATGAATTCTCCTTATGAGCCCTTTGGGCGTCAATCACGAGCTTGGAGTAAGGTTCACGACTCCCAAGATGAATAATGCGGTAGAGTATGAGGCACTCCTTGCCGGACTCTCTATGGCACAAGAGTTGGGAGTGCAGCGAATCCTTATCCATTCGGACTCCGCCCTCGTAGTAAACGAAGTAACCGCAACTTTTGAAACTCGAGAGTCGGCCCTCGCCACATATGTCAATGCGGTTAGAATGGCTTTAACCGACTTTATGGATGTTCGGGTCGTCCACATTCTCCGGGAGGACAACCTCCATGCCGACGCCCTCTTCAAATTGGCCATAGCCAGAGATTTCGCGGATGAGAGGCACGTTGTAGTTGAACGTCATCCCGCGTTGTGGTGTGCCCAGAGTGCTACCTCCCCCCCCCCCCCCCCCCCCCCCCCCCGCGCACCGATAATTGAATACCTCCAGCATGGTATGCTCTCGTCTGACGTAAAGGAAGCAACCCGCCTGAAACATCAAGCGCCATTGTACGTCATGATTGACGACGCCTTGTACCGGAAGAGTTACACTGGTCCTTACAGAAACGTCCCGATCCTTTTGAAACCAAAACCAGAACTCAAAAACCAAAACCGGTTACTCCGGAGCAACCCAAACCACTTTCTAAAATAAATAAACCTACAATGTTTAAGAATTTCAAACAAAAAGCCTAGACACTTGGGCAAATGACAATTCAAATACTTAAAATGAATGAACTCAGAATCTCCAGTTTATACTCCTAACCATGTAACAAAGAAATTAAACTATTCTAGCTCTGAATCTTCACGAGCTCCTTGACTTCTCATCAATGTTGGTGCGGCTTCTCGCCTCACCCTGCCTCTTCTCGAGATCCTCATCCCCAAACCCTTCCTTAACCTGGTGAGTGAGAAGGGGTCAGTCTCGTTGTTACTTCCTAAAGTCTTTGCCCTAGGAAAACTTTACTAACACATTATTAGGGTTCCTACCTTAGACGAAAGTTGTTCTTACTTTCATCCTTATTACTTTAATCTTAATAGCTTATAGAAGTTCTCTACTTCTATCTTAACTTATATACTTATTACTAGGGAATCACCGTGTTACGTATCGCCATCCGGTGTCCCTATCCTCAAGGCAATGGTACTGCGTTACGTATCATCGTCCAGTCCATGCCTGGTCAACTACTGCGTTACGTATCGGCGTCCAATAGTGATGACCATCTACCGTGTCCAGTAGTGGCCCAATCGCCCAGGGGTTCTATTATCAAAAACCATGCATACACATACAGAGCACAACGCGTGTATCCACTCTTAGAAGGCGGTTGGATGCCTCACACCTCTAATCACGCATACTAGAATATTAACGAACATAACTTAAATAAAAGACATAAAATAAAAGACATAAAATAAAAGACCTCGATAGTGATTTTACCCCCTTTACACTCACCTCGAAAAGACGACTCTGATTAGACTCTGAAAATTTCAAAACTTCCTCCTATAATATTCTCGTCACTTCCACAATACTATAGGTGCAGACGGTTCCTTGATCGGACATCAATTGATCAAGTTATGGCCTAAATAAACATTCCGTCAGTTTTCAAAATCCCAACTACCGAATTTGTAATTTCCCAGTCAACGAATTGACTACCACCTCTCTGGAAAGTTACAGAACTAATCTTCTAACTTTTTGAATTTCCAGGAATGGTACCTAAACTATCCGATTTGCGTCCCAAACTTTCGAGGCTCGTATCTCCCTCGTCCGACGTCGAAATTCGATTCAGTCAAGACCAGGATGCTCCTGCGACACTCCTCTACATGATAATTCCCACAACTTACAGTTTGATTGAAGTCAACAACACCGGTGCCGCTGGTGTACTCTTCCGACGAGCCCTCGATTCCCTTCTGCCAACACCCCGATTAGCTATTGACACGCTAAAACACAACACCAAACTGCGATCAAGTATAATCGCAGTCCGGAAATGCAGTAACAGGCAAGCTCTAATTGTCAACCTGGGGTCTAGATCTACTACCTACTCCGTGTATATCTGTTATCTAGCAAACTAAGTCGAGTGTTTGTGATTTTAAGTAAAAGCAGTAAGAAAGCAAGAAATGGTTCGGTTTTCTAAATCAAAGGGAGAGTCACTCGGGAATGAGTCCCCCTAGCTCCTTAGTTAGGTTTCAATTGTAATTACCCTGGGTTGATGTACTGTTTATTAAATTGCGGAAGATCCGACAGTAGCTTGGAATCTCTGAAGCTGACCAAGCCCTCTCAGGCAGGCTAACCGGCAAACGACTAACCTTCACCAGGATAGACTGCTGAGGCATAAATCATAGAACTCCACTACTGGAATTGGGTTCCAGTACAAAGCAGTAGATTGATTAACTCTCGTATAACCAATCTACCACTACCGAATGATGAAGCTCTAACAACCTAATCAGATTCTAACTATCTCAGGTTGCAGCAGAAATCAAGAAAAGATGATCAGACTTCAATTGATTCAATGAATCATGCATCATTCGATTAAAATCAAGCAGTATAACAATCCCAAGTCATTACAATCAAGATCCGTAACACATGGAACTAGGGTTCTTCATACCCAAGCGAGAGAAAGTTCTACTCCATAGAGAGAGAGAGGGAAACAGAATACAAAGCAGTCATAATCATAACAATGGGAAGAATCTGCTCTAGGATGTCAATCTTCACTCCTGTGATGATCTCCAAGCTCGATTGGTGAAACCCAGCTCCAAAATCACCTCTAGGATGTGTTCTTCGCACTTTCTCTCTCTAGGGCTCTGTTTTTGGCTCAAAATTGGGTTAAAACCCAAAAATTCCCGACCACACGGCCATGTGACTTCCCCAGCTGCCCGTGTGAGTGTGCAAAACGCGGCGTTTCGATAAGTGAGCTTTCAGGCTTTCTGCACGGCCAAAACCACATGACCGTGTGGATTTCCAGACTGCCCGTGTGAGCTCCCTGGACTTTCCCCACTGCCACAAAGGGTCCCCTACACAGCCAGTGTGGCTTGCCCGTGCAAAATGGTGCCACATGGCCAAGTCACACGGCCGTGTGGGATTTTAGGCGTGCCCGTGTGGCTTGCTCAGCCTCTCGCCAAACATCCAATCTCCGTCCAATCGACCCCGAACTCGTTCCCAAACCTTAATTCACGTACTAGGACCTGAAATATCACAAACAAGAACAACCTAGCGTGACATCGGCCTAAAACACAAGAAATAAGACTCAAACGGTATAAGAATGGTGGACAAAAACATGTGTATATATC